CCGGGGGGACGGTCTGTGGGAGGGGTGGATGGAGCTGTGAGGGGTGCTGCAGGGGGGGGGCAGCCTGTGTGGGGCGAGCCCCCCTGGGAATACACGGCCATGGTGGCACCAGCGAGTGGCTGTGGCCAGAGGCGTGAGCACCGTGCGTGATACACAGAGATGCTTTTTTTTCTTTTTCTGTCTCCCCCTTCCCAATGCCTCTCCCCAGGGAAGCACGAATGAGGTAAGTAGCTCTTGTTCTCCGCATGTGACACCACTCAGCTCCCACAAGCCAGCTGGGCCGTGGGCTCCCAGGGAAAAGCGTCTCGGACCCAGATGCACATTTCAGCCGCGTCGCTGCCGTTCGGCTTGCTGTGGGCAGCGTCAGCGTCCTGGCCCTGCAGCAGGACACTTGCCGGCGGCTGGGCTCTGGTTGTACCTGTGATCCAGATGCCTGGGAAGGGGGTTAAACGTGGGCCCTGCGCTCCGGGCGGTGCTGGAAGCCAAGGAGGGGGGAGAGATTTGGGTGGGGAGTGTTTGTTATGATGGGGATTTTCCTTTCTCCCATCAGTTCTGTTTGGGCATTTTCCTGTTGTGCCAAGCGGTCAAACCGAAACACCGGTTTGTTTTGTAGCACCAACCGTGCAGGCGTCGCGCAGGCAGGGCGCTCGCCCCAGCAGCTGAGGACCCCCCATGCTTGGCGAGGCCTCTCTGTGCTGCTGGAAGTGCCACGTGTTGTGTTTGGGGCAAACCCACCCCATACCGGACGGGGTAAGCCGAATGCAGAGCCTGGAAAGCGCAGTTTACCTCCCCAGTCTCTTCCTGGGGCGGCACGCCGAGTGCAGCTCGCTTGCCCAGCGCCGCAGCGGCACAACGCTGAGCTGCTTGCCGTGCCTGCACCGAGGGCCACTGGAACGTTGTTTAGGCAAAACCTCATCAGATCTACTTAAAACCAAAAAAAGGGCATCCTTACCAGTCTGTGTGACAGTGCATGGACGTTACACCTGCGCTGTAGCCAAGTGCCACCCCAGTCTGTCCCAGGTGCGTGACAGAAGACAGCCCCGTCTTCTGTCGTGTCACCAAAGCCTGACTGCTCCGTCTGTTGGTGTCAACACACTTTTCAGCCACTGAGCCATGTGGGGGGTTCCTCTTAAAAGAAAGTTAGAGCAGCTTCCAAAAGGGAAAAAAAAAAGTAAAAAAAGAGAAAAAAGGAGCTGAAACGCAACCCATTCCTTCCCCCAGCAGCCAGCACAGGCTGGCCATTTTCATACCGCGCTGTGCCGAAACGCTGAGCAGCTAAAAGCTTCCTGACCCCTGGGTCCGTGGGCTTCGCTCCGGCTTGTGCAACAGCAAGAGGCAGAACAGTCTTTGCTCTTGATGAGCTTGATGAACTCTTGAACAAATCCTGTCAAGTAAAAGTCATCTCTGTGAGACTGGCTTGCCTTCAAAAAAAGCCTAAAATAGCACAAAATGCTGCAAGGTCACTACGTAGGAGTCGAAGATGTATTTTCAAGAAAGAAACCCAGAGAAGCTGTGTGAAGTCTCCTCCACCAGGCTGCTACGTTCCCAAACAATCCCGAAACGCTTGCCGCTACGGCCCGTTGGGGATGCGGTCAGCATCGCCTTAAACACCCCTCTGGAATCTTCTCACCCTCCCTGCCCCTCCTTGCCATGGCTTCAGCCTCGCCTGCATCATCCGACACCCCCGCACACACGTGGGACACGACACCCCGGGAGCACGCGGTTTCCACCCCGTCCTGAGCTAACCCTGCCTCACCAGTGGCATCTCCTGTGCCATTTGCACGCGTACGAAGCCCACCACGGGGTGGGGGACAGGGTGGTCCTGCCCGTCGCCACATCCCAGCCCTTGCAGCAGCCCCTCGGCACCAGAGCCTTGTCGCAGCCCCGTGACGGCTCTGCCGTTAGTTCGGCACAGGAAATGCAGACCATGACCTCATCAGGGCACCGGTACTGGTACCGCAGCCGTGCCTGGTGTTTGACTCTCGCCCCCCAATCCCCTGTGAAGACACTTCTACGCTCTGCAGAAACGGGGCTGCACACACGTTTGTGAGGCTGGTGCAGCTGTTGGCCAAGGACAGGCTTTTCTGGCAGACAGGAAAACGCAGCCGGGTACAAACAGAAAATGGTAAAATCGGAACGAAAAAAAAAAAATCTGCATTCATCTGCAGAAAACTAATCTAGACAAGCCAGGTACGCATGGCATAGCAAAGCCCCCCGTACGCTGCAGTATGTATCTGCTGGTGGCGTAAAACCAAAATGCCGAGGATGCAGAAATTTAAATGCTGCGTGAAACCCAGAGAAAACCAACCCCCGTAAGGCCCTTACCCGGACTCCAGGTAGCTTTAACACAGCTCCAGGGACCTCCTCCCACAGCCGGGACCTTTGAGAGATTCGCAAACTACCGACCTCGATGCTTTTCCCCGTCGGCCACTTGACACAATCGAGAGTTGGTGCACAAAACAAACCGCACACCGCAATGGGTTTGAACCCGCCGCCGCGGCACGAACACGAAAGCACAGCACGTACATGTCACACGCAGCAGGGCCGAGGACGTGACCACGTGTTGTCTCTCTCTTTCTTTCCAGGCTTTGTACAAACTGTACAGCGCTGCAGCCACTCACAGACATTTGTACCACCACGCCTTCCCTGCACAGAAAGCGGAGCCCGCCGAGGGCTCGGAGAGGAAGAAGGTTTAAGGCAGGCACGTTCCCGTCAATGCATGAACGAGGCGCGGACGTCTCATCCTCGGTTCAGTACTCTCATCCTCGTACCCATCACAAGCTCCTGCCGTGGAACAGGGAGAGCGGAGAAGAAGTCGTGCGTAAGGCGGTTCGGGGTGCTCCTTCGACAGCACAGTGTGTGACAGGAAGGTGTCGGCATGTTTTTCGTTTTGTGAATATGTACATATTGGTACTGCTGCGAATACAAAGTGCTTTTAATTTGTAATATCCAGCATACTTTCCAGCTAACTTATGAAGCCTTATTTTCCCTTTCTTAATTATAAAGTCACTGAAGAAATCATCATTTACACGATACTGCAACTAAAAATCTTCCAGACCCTAGCATTATTCAAAAGCCAACTTATTTTCAGTTACTTGAACAAGTTATAACATGTAACCAAGTTTTTTCTTCAATTAACTAATTACATAAACATAACTAAAAACATATTAACTTGCTTTATCAGAAACTGTAAAGGCACTTCTGCTAGTGTGTGAATGATCTTGTACGGAAAGCATACTTTTCTGTTCGTAACTGATGCACAAAGTATCACTTTCTATATGTATTGGAGAAAGTTTCACTGTATTTCTGTATATATATTCATTATAGTGCATAGAAAATGTGTTCAACAGTTCTATTCTTTTATCATCAGAACTATTAAAGTTTCCTTTCGGTTCCTAAGAAGTTGGTTATACAGGAAGCAATTATTGACTAATGAGGTAAGGTTTCTTTTTTTGGTTTGGTTTTGGTTTTTTGTTTGGGTTTTTTCTTTTTTACATTCCCAGTTTCCTTTCTGCCTTCAGAATTGGCACTTTAAGTTGGTATTTTGAAAGGACTCTGGCCTGTCTCCTGCCCAGGTGTGACCTCTGGGAGGTGCTTCTGTCACTAACAAGGTTAAACCAGGTTTTACAAGTCTCAGGCAAGATAAAGTCTCCAGCTTTTAACAGCGAGGGACAGCCCCAGGCACAGCCACCCCTCTCCACTCACCATCTCGGCTTCAGAGTAGCCGCACTACTGATTGTCACCACCCCCGAGCAGATCTTTTTATTGCATATAAGAACATTTTACTTGATGTTCTTAAAGGAAAAAAAAAAAAATCATGTGAACGACCCTTCATTAAACAAAATGGGTTTTATTGAATTAATAGGATTTACAAGAAATGTATGGTTTTGTCTGCAACAATGTTTATTGCACTAAAAAGAATCCATAAATAACATTTCAGGACAATCAATGAACCAAATGAAAACACTGGAGAGGGTAATTGTACAATTAAAAATTTTCCCCAAGTAAGGAAGCTTTAATACAAGACAAAAGCTCGTTTAAAAAAAAATTGTTGTTATATCCCTGATTTTTTCCATGGTGTGGTGCAGCTAGTTGGTAATCTGGTTAGACAATGCTATTACCTTCCCACCCGACTGGGTCACGTTTTAGGAAACGCAGTTTACCTAGCATTTAAAAACCTGTGGAAAGCTTGCTGAGAGATCTTGGTCTTTAAGAAGGTACAAGTATTTCCCCTCTGAGTGATTTGTGTGAAAACCAGTAGTAAATCTAAAGCAGTGATGCATTAAAGGAAGTAAAAAAATAAGGCAACTCACGCTTCACTTCATGAAGCGCTTGGTTTACTGATGAAATCTGCTTCTGCTGGGTGATGGCACTGGGTGTTGCTGACACCGAACCATGTCGGTGTTCCGTACATTAAAGCTGTAAATGAAGAGCAGACCTCTCTCCAGAGGGGGATACGAAATCCCGAGGGAAATACATGGAAATATTCACTGGGATTTTAACAATGTTTTGAATTCAGGACATTTCATGTAGTTGCATCCATTGCCCTTTAAAAATACATAGTCAGCTTCTTAATAATACAGCTGACGGCTAGAAAAAGATACCAGAATCAAGTCTCTGATTAAACTCCGCGCCGGTTTTCAGAATAATAAACTAGTTCTTGTACAGAAAAAGATTAACAAACATTTTTAATTTTTATAAACAATACATAATACATGTAGAAAAATACTCAAGAGGATAACAACAAAGGTGCAACGTCAACAAAAATAAGCTGCCTTTTCAACAAAGCACTTTTTCATAGTTTTAAGTGTGAAAACCTTTTAAAGCTCTTAGTGTCCTCAGAAAAGTCTATACAAAAAGAGTTGTTAGCTTAAAAATTCTTGCCGTGCTGCTGGGCATACCACTGCTGCCTCTGCTTGCGGTGCTCCAGCTCGGTGAGGAGGGCCTGCCTGTACGCTTCGTACAGCTTAACGATCCTTTCCAGTTCTTTCATGAAGAGCAGCTTCAGCATCCCCTGGTACGTGTCCAGGTCCGCCAGCTGGAAGAGCTCCCACTTCAGAATGTGATCGTATCTGTTTTGATAGAAAAGATGATTTATCTACACACCATGGCAAGCGAATACACAGCATTTTATCACAGAATCCTTAAGGTTGGAAAAGACCTTTTAAGATCATCAAGTCCAACCATCAACCCAACACCACCATGCCCACTAAACCATGTCCTGAAGTGCCACATCTGCACTTTTTTTTGAACACCTCCAATGATGGTGACTCCACCACCTCCCTGGGCAGCCTGTACCAATGTTACACCACTCGCTCCGTAAAGAAATTTTCCCTAATATCCAAT